GTAAATGTCTAACTAACAGCAGAATGCGCTTATGGGGAATTAAACATTAATAAGGGCTAAATGGATACTAATTAATGACAAATTAACCATCTACAACTATTCTAATTAGCAGGTAGTTAGATGTTAATAATTGTACCCTAAAATAAAGTGTTACCTATAATTTATTCTGAGATATTCCATATTTAGAAGCCTTCAGTCACCAGTTTTCAACCTTTATATTTCTAAAATGTGTTTAAAAAGCATCAACAGGCAAATAGAAATACTCATTTGAGTAGTCGATTAATCGAAAAATGAATCCTGACAAATTTATTAGTAAAATAATTGTTAGTTGCGGCCCTAATGGTAATATACCAGAAGTTACAGTGAGTATTTTCTAACTTGACCATCGGTGTACAAGCAATTTAAAATGAAAACTGTATTTTTTTTCTTTGACTATAGAATTTTTGCTACTAGATTTGTTTTGAGCATTATTCATACATCCACTGAGTCTTTCAGAAAATATAAAATTTTTTGTTGTTTTTTGTCAAACAGTGTAACCCGCTAAAATCTCTTAGTTGTGGGGGAGTATTGCAATGTCTTCAAAATGTTTTGACGTAGAAAATTTACTGACATATTATCAATTACAATCAAGTATGACGTATTTTCCCTGCCTTGGTCTGCGTTTCCAGTCTACCCCCTTTTAAGTTACAGTATTCGAGGCAAGCAGACATGTTCCATCTGCACATGTCCGAGGGGATGCTGGGAAACGCGGTCCCGGGTCACTTCCTCGTCCAATGAACAGATGAGTGGAGGGAGATGGGGGTCAGAGGTCATTGCCTTCGCCTCCTTCCATCGGTCTTCACTCTCTATTTTATATATATATATCTGTGTGTGTGTGTGTTTGTTTGTTAGCCAGTGCAGATCTATGTTATTGATTGACTCCTGTGGCTGCCGGTGCTGCCCAGTGAAGGAGGGGGCAGAGCTTTAATGAATTCCTCCACCTCATGCCCCTTTACTCCAACCCCGGCACCCCCACCTTAATTAACTTTGTGTGCATTTGTGTGTGTGTTTTGTGTGTGTGTGTGGAGAGAAAAAGAGTGGAGCATTTTGTGTCCCTACTCCACACCCCCGCATTCACACTCCCATGCCTCTTTCTTCATTCTTTGTGTAACATCTCATACTACTAGATCTACAAGCATGCTTTCAAGGCCTACATACTAGTATACACAGTAGCAAGCCCATGCATCCAAATTAGCATATTTTTGTATGGTTTGAAGAGTGTGCGTTGTGTGAATTTACGGGTTTTGGTTTTTAGTTCTGACTTTGCTGGTTTACCGACATCTCTCCAATTATGTAGTAGTAGTTCTTAAAGGGGTAATTTTATTGGTGGGGGGTTGCCTGTTAGTTTCTATCGATGTGTTATTTATTTTCCTGGACTGTATCACAATGTGGCATTAGACTTACATTTTGCATGTATTCCGTTATATATTTATATATTTTTGTGAGTGTGGTAAACGTAATGCCATTGTTTTCCAAAAACTGGTTTCAGGAGATTTTTTTGGGGTCGCCTTGTCACAATCTGCAGATAGGTTTGCCATATATAGTTCTGACACATGAGAATGTGTGTGAATGTATGCTTATTCCTTTCACTACTTCATATATGTGTGAATTGGGATTTTTTGTGCTCACAAAAATGAAGACAAAGCACAGAAAGAATGAATGCTGTGCCTGATATGAGTGTTTCACTCTCCTCCTGCACTGGAATGCGCTACAGAAACGCAGACAGGTCCACCTACCTCATTAGAAATGTTGAAATCTTTTTGTAATTATTTTATTGAATCCATATTGTTCCAATATTGCTGGTTCAATTGAATGTTCAAAAGAAAAAGAAAAGGGCTGCATTTAATTTCCAAATATGTGACTTATGGATCCTTTTATTGCTGGTTCAGTGACTGTTTTTCATAGTTTAAAACTTGAGTAATACTAATTGTTCAGAGAGACACGATCACTCAATCAACCATAAAATATCCTCATTAATGTTCAATAATTGTCAAATCCACCTTTATTTTGTGATTTACGAATAATGTCTATTGACTCGGGTCGCAAAGGTTTGTGACTTTTAAACTATGGGTCCCCAGAAAAAAAGTTTGGGAAACACTGCTCTGGAATATTCTTGGCAAACTAATAACATGAGATATGGGACAAGCAGGTGGCAGACCCAGCACCAAAAAAGTGACATCGCTTAAAGAGTAGTCAGACATGTAATCACTGATAAAGCAAAAGTGAGGACCTGCATTTGCGTTTGTGAACCTTGTGGAGTTTTTTGGTTTGTTTTTTTCTTCAAGCTATTCTAGGGACAGGCATTGCAAATTAGGCTTGACTATAACTGTAAATGTAGTGTGTTACTGGTCTAATGTACATACTTATCAAATAAAGGAATAATAAAGAAAGAAAGAAAAGCTACATAGTGTACCTTTGGAATTGTGCAAAATTAAAAAAAAAAAAATTAATTGCACACTGCATATTCATGATCAAGACAAAATATCATAATGATTGCACATGCTAAAATAAATGTCTTATTTTTATAGGGTAGATCTGAAACTTCTGACTCATTCCGTACTTGTTCACAGCAGCTCATGGTGTTTCGTGCATACAGAACATGCGTCCAGCCGTCTGACCTGTGATCATTTTTCTATACCCGTGTGAAGTGAGAGTGACAGACTGAGAGAGTGGTCAGCAGAGCCCTGGTGCAGGCTCAGAGCGGGCAGTACGAGTCCCATCTGTATTCAGGACCAGCCCCCCGCCCCTGTCACCTTGACTCCCCCCACCTCCAGACGCTCTCCGGGAGGCAAAGGAAGTACTTAGCACTACCTGACTGTGATGGGAATAGGCACTAGTTACATCACTGCGTTATATCTCATTTAGTTAGTTTCGACACACACAAACACACGCACAGCATTCTCTTTCTTTTAAAGGGCCAATATTCCGTTATTTTCTGATATATGTTATAATGCTGTTTCCTCATCACAAACATCCCTGGAGTTGTGTTTTTGGAGTTTTTGGAGTTGTTGTTTTTTTGTTTTTGTTTTTTTTTTCCCATTTGCAACATACAACCTGCACAAAGACATTACACAGAACAGGACAATACAATAAGCACAATATGGAAGAATACAATACAAATACAAATAAGGTGTACAGACAAGGTGTAAAGTGTGTGTGTGTAAGAGTTTGTATGTATGAGTAAAAGTGTGACATTTCAGCAGCAGTAAGTTTAAATGACTAATTGTGTATAGTTATGTAGAGATTCTTAACAGTGTATTAGAAAGATAATCTCAATGTTGAAAAAATAATGAGTTATGGAAATAATAACAGTACAGTGCCTGTCAGTATAGTTACAAGTGGGAAGAGGAAGAGGAGAGGAACTTTTAGATAAGATTGCCAATCTCTACTTAACTAAAGGTAAAATGTAGCTGTTAACATGAAAACTACTACTTTACAAGGTGAACAACAAAGCATTTTGAGCTTTGAAAATGCAGATTAATAAATTACTCAAACAACATTATAACATGACTTAAAGCCCACGAGAGTCAATTTTGTGTAATATAGGACTTGCAAGGTAAAAGGGATTGTCAATATGTTGGTGCAAATATTCGATCGACTTATTGTTCAATATATTTTAGATGGAACAATATTTTATGGGGTCAAAATTTATCATATGTACCTTTTGTTTTGTTTTGTTATTTTTTTAGCTATATGATAAGATTTGTGACAGGCCTCATTAATATCTCTTCATATTTCTACTGTATTATCAATATCAGTTGGACACATGCCGATAGAGAAGAACTAAGCAGTGTTTGTTATCTACTTCTTATATGCAATATTCATATCAATTTACAGAAACATGTATCATATTGAATACAGAAACATATAATCTCATCTCCAGTGATACACCGTTGGTCCATTCTAACGTCACTATTAAAAATACTCATCATCTGATCTGAGCTGTCATCATGGTCCCTATTAAGCATTAGAACAACCAGAAGGTTTCTGTCCAGGCAATCTCTCTTCTAAGCACCCGCAGACACACATGCAGACACAACTTTAAGGCACGTTTCAGAATGAGAATTATGTGACAAGTTAAGTCTTTGCTAAGGGACCTGTCATCAGTAAAGTGTCAATTAGAAGCCTCTCACGGTGGGTTTCGTGTCATCTTGTTTGTCCATGCGTGAGAGTGTTGAAAGGAACTGTCAATGGCCATGTTGTTAAATAGTGTTATCTTGTACATATATAAAATAATATTTAACTTATGCTGCGTATTCCTACTCTATTGTTTGTACCTCCATACTTAACAGCTTGTTTAACTGTTGTAAGCTCGCAAATGATATCAAAGTAACATTTCTTTTGTGTTGCCGATGCTTCGATTTTGGTGGCAGTGTGTTTTGGAGGAGAGACAGGAGTGAATCACAATGATGAGCTGTAAGAGTAAGGCACTTGTGAGCAGTGAGTTGAAAATTATGAGGTTAATAAAAAGTTTAAATAAACGCTGTAACTCTTAAACTGACAGTGTTTTAGTCAATGTCTTGCGATAACAATATAATATACCGAAAGCTCCCCTTAGGTTGATTTACAATATTTTAGCACTGACATTTTCAAGTGAGCATGGACAAGCACTGTTAACCCAATTAGAAAAGAATGCAATTTCATAAAAACATTATATGGTTTCAAAAAATATAAAAAGGTAAATTCATAAGGCACAGAGTTTGACTTTCCATTACACTGTTGCTTTATCATTCACTCTGGCCTTGTCAATTTTTAGATTACGTTTCTGTTAGTCACTGAAGTACACAATATTGCACTAAGAATGAAATGTTTTATGTGTATATCCCTTTGTGTGTACAAGTTTTCTTCTAAAATGAAATTAAAATGCCTCAGTCTCACTTTTAAGTTGTATTAGTGTATTAGTGTGTATATTTTTTTTGTTTTGCTGTTGCTAAGTACCATATCTTTTGTATTGTGCTCAGGGGCAGACGTGACAGAGCCAAACAGCTCAGACAGTCGAGGAGAAAGACTTGACTTCTTCCTGAAACAAGAGGAACCGCTGACCACAGAACCCAGTTTCCTTGGCGTCAGCGAATCGGAGGAGGCTGGAGCCGGAGCTGGGGGCGGGACCATCTCATCTGTGGCCAATCTGAAGGCAGCGCTGATGAGTAAGAACAGCCTACTGTCCCTGAGAGCTGAAATGATGGGGGAGGATAGTCCGCTGCTGTATGAGTACCTGCCCAAAGGAGGACACTCCCTCTCCTGTAAGTCACTGTGCAGTCATAACACACATAACCATTACTGCTGACAGGGCACTTGTGCCTGTCTGGAGTTTCTTACACTTGTTGTTCATTGACATATTCAGGTGGTACTCAGATTTTTTTTTTTAATTTAACCTTAACATTTTGATGGTGAGACTTTTAAATTGTTCTTCATTTATTACATTTTGTTAAGCATCTGAAAAAGGAACTATCAAGGTCCTTGGTATATGAATCATCAGTGGGAATGTGTAAATTCCGGGTAGAATCAATATCAGTTTGCACACCTAACCCACAAATAAAAAAGACTTAATTTGATAATATTTCTTTTCCTGCGTTCCACCTGGACATTTTTATATTATAAAGTGTGCAGAAATCTTTAAAATATAGCTGAAAATAGGGCTTTTTAGAGAGATAAGCTTCAACTTTGAAATGGGAATTGCCTTGTCTGTCAGTCCATATCTCTCAACAGCAATTTTACTCCTCCTTATACTTACCCAAAAAATCTAGACGGAATTTGAAATCTGGTTTTCCTTTGTGCATAGCTTGTTACCACTTATAATTAGAGTAAATCAGACAGCAGAGGCCAAAACTACAGAGCGTCAGCTTCATCACAAGCTCCACCATTTGTTTATCCTCGAAAGGTTTCAAGATTCAGTTTTAATTGTGGGAATTTTACACATTATAGGGAAAACAATCAGGATGATAAATTAAAATATATTTGAATTTGATGTCAGTTTTATTCCCTCTTTATTTAGTTAAGGCTGGTGTACATTTGGACATAATCTTGTTAAGCCCAGGTTCAGTCATGTAAGTAGTGTCTTGATATAAAAACTTCAAACTTGATACTCCATACAGATGAGAATTAAAACAGGTTATAGAGTGTAAGTTTCAACAAAAAAATAATATTACCATGTGGTCTTATACTATATCAATTATAGATTAAGACTTTCGGAAATGTCCAGTTTTAACACTTCTATATGACATTTTGATATTAATAATTGATGCAAATATGTGCCTTATTTTTCTTGCTTATTTTTGTATCCATCAGTATCAGAATTGAATTTTTTTTTACTTTAATTCTTAGTTCTTTCAGTTTTAGTATGCCAAAATGAAGAGCTAAAGCTTACAAAGTATATACTATTTGGTGTGAAACATTTGACACTACTCACCGTGGAGTATTTTATTTTGCTCAAATCTTGTGTTTGTCTAAGTTGGAGCGCGTTTGTGTGCATTACCACTCGACTGGAGCCTCAGACTGGCAGCAGCCGCGAATCGTCAGCAGTGATTCAGTGAGAGAACATTTGACTGTGATCGCTCGCACCATCGTGAGAAAATTAGTTTGACAATTTCTTCTTTTCAACCTCTGACTAAAATGACACTTTACTAAGTCTCTCTACTTTTTAAAGAGAGAGACCTTTGACAAAATAACCTTCAAAAGCACGGAAGGTAGTTCAACAGTTTGCAAATGTTTGATTAACACGGAGAGGCGTAAATGGTCACTTGATAAAAACGCTTTCATTGGACATTTTGCACTATTTAAGAAAGTGACCACAGCGTATACTTTATACCGTCAGTGAGCTATGGCTATGCTGATTTGAAGCCTTAGTTTTGACCTTCAGTAATGTCAATAGTAGAGAAGTAAATATGTGTTAAGAGAGAGTTTTTCGCCCACTTTGCCTTTCATCTGGAGTGTCCGTGTGGCTCTTTGTCCGTGTATATTAGCCCAGTCTAAGCCCGCGTGGGCACGTTTGGCTGTGCCTGTGTATCTTTGCTTTTACTGCCTCGTAATTGGATCTTTTGTCCCGAGTTGTGCCGCTTTTGTGCACCGAAGAAAAGGGAGGAAGGGTACAACTCCTGGTCTCGTCCTGTCTTTTGAGCTGAGCCCCACTCGCCTCGGAAATCAGACCTGAATGTTCGGCGCGCATCTCGCCACTCGGCATCAACTCTTTTGTGCTAAGTGTTAAGTGTGTGGGATTGAGATGTTTCTGACGGCTAAAGACCAGAATCAAGACTGTCAAAGGCTTTCAGATACACACTTTAAACAGCCTTGGCGTAGTATAAATAGGCGAATAGGAGAATGCAGAGAATGTTAATCATTTGCTTTCTTTGCTGAAAAAACAAGGGCTATATTTCAGCGAACCGTAAGGAGGTTTATGGTTAGCCAAACCCCATATTTTAAATCTTCCTCACAATGGGGTTAGGGAAATGGGCTTGTCTCTCCCCTCCCTCGTCTCCCCTCGGCGGTCTGTCCCGGCGTCTAAATGAGGACGGAAAATAAACAAACAGTGTACCTCAGATTACTGGGCGGCGGATCAGTCAGAGCGCAGTGACAGATCGCTGCTCCCTGCCTCCTCCTCATCTCCTCCTCTCCTTCACCCCTACATCCTCACATCCTTCCTTTCCTCCTCCTCTCCTCTCCTTCACCCCTCCTTAACACTCATCGCTCACTCTCTTCCTCCAAGCGCAGTGCCTCCTTATTTGTCTTGTCTCCTCTCTTTTCTTTACCCCTGCTTTTACCGCGGCCATGGTGCATCAAAGTATGTCGAATGTTGGAAATGCTGGGAAAGTATTGATCTGAGAGGAGAGGAGGTAGAGCGAGGTCACCTGGCCTCATTCAAAACACACCATAGAATATCTGCACAAGGCCTTGACACATCGTTCTGGTATTTTTGCACTGTCTGTTCTTGTAATTGTCTATTTAATGAAACATTTTCCCAAAGTTACATAGAATCTAAAAATCAATGCTTTCAATGGTTTAACTCTATTCACTCAATTTTTTGTTGTCAAGGCGCATACCCAGTTGCTATCTGAGTCCTAATAGGCTTGTGTAGGTCTTGCATGCCCTTCTAGTACTAATGCAACACCACTATAAAGAAGAAGCCAGCCTGTATGCCACAATCCAATAAGGATCATTGGGATTTGGCCTGTTGCTGTACCCATCTCGTGCGTCAGACAATCGATTGCAGACAATGGATTTTGCCCAAGCGTCCCTGCACACCTGTCCATAGTCCTCGCGTCCTCCTCACTGTAAGGGACATTTAATTTACCACAGCCGTATTAGTAAATTCTCCTCTCGGCACCAGTACAGTCACTCAAAATGGTTGACAAAAACTGATTTTGTACAGAAAAGTGGGTTCAACTACTACTACTTGAATGGTGCGCTATGATTAGGGTGTACAAAAATATTGAAATATTGATATATCGTATCATTTAATGTGATGATACAGTATCGATATTGTGGGCTGCTGTATCAATATATTAACGAGAGTATTTTTTGGTATATTTTACTAAATTATTTTGTTACAGCGCTACAGTTTTTTTTGGTTGTTTATAGGAAGGAAACTTATTTATGTGACACGTTTCACATTTTCACTGTTGTGATGATTAAAATGGGTGTTTTTAATATGAACTTTACACAAGAAGACTTTAAAATCACAGCCATGATTTAGCCTTTATTTTTTTATTGAACCGTATTGAATTGATTTGAAATATATTGTATCGAACCAAAAGTGTCCTGTATCGAGATATGTATTGTATCGTGGCCTATGTATTTAGGTATGTATCGTATCGGCAACTTCTTAATGATATCCAGCCCTAGTTATGATTTGTAAATGTGAGTGTTCTCAACAGAATCTGCTAATCTTTTAAAGACTATATGTAACAGTAAGTGAAATATTGTGATACTGTATCATCAAAAGTCTTTTTTCATCAAGGGCCACATATCTAAACGCAGACAAAGCAGAGGGCTGATCGAGGGCCGTAGACTGGTGCTCAGTACAGTGAATAATTGAAATATGTGCATGTTTAACACGTTAGAACGAGCCGTCAGTCTTTATTCATGCTAAGATCCTTAAAACCACACACCAATATTTAATATTTAGCTTTATCATGGTATATTTTCAAAAAACTTGCAGTAAAAAGTTCATTTTTAATTCATGCAAGGTAATTTGGGTCAATTCATCTGGAAGCCTGAGGGCCAAGAAAAAATTGTCTCGGGGCCACATTTGGCCCACAGGCCATAGTTTGGACATGCCTGTTTTCAGGCATCAGCAGCTTATAAACATTGGGAACTGCATATCTCATGATTCATTTCAGTGCAGACAACATTTTACTTGAATTCTTCACCAAAATCTTGTCAAGGTATTTTAAAAATAAAAATGTATCCTATCTACAATAATATTAGCCTCTCTAAAATTGCAATAAATATCATACCATGAGATGCTTATTGTGATAATATCGTACCAACAGATGTGAATATTGTTACATCCCTATTAAAGACGTGCTACCATTGCGCGATACAGCCATAGATCGATTTCCATTCATAAGATAAACTAATTGGAATGTCTCAAGGTTTTTTTGCTTTTTGTTTTTCCAAAGTTTATATTTTGCTCTTCTAATTCAGGAAGAGCTTACAGTACAGTGAATGTTGCATCCTATCTCCCGGTCTGCTCCTGAACAGACTTTTCATGTGATTAGCTGTTGGCAATTATTCGGTCACCTCAGAGTAATTTCTTCAAGAACAAAGTTAATTGGTTATCATCCCCTTTTCATTCTCAAGTGGAAGGTGCAGCCAGGGGTATAGCTGTGACTCTGAGGCGCTTCTGTGCTATGACTTCCATCCTTCAACGTGTTACAGTCTATAGTGTACATTTCTAAGGATTTGAAATTTAAAATACAGTAATTGTCAGCAGTATTGACAGAAATGAATATCTTCCTTTCTTTTTTGCTTTCTCACAATGATGATAAGATTGTAAATTAACAACAAAAACATGGACATTATTGAAGACTTATTTGAAAGACCCATTTCTTAAATTTTATAATCTGCCCTTTTTGTAGCATTTTCATAGTTTCATAAATAACCGCTTCTGCTTTTCTCCAAATTTTTTATGTGATATCTCTGCATTACCTCTAATGTTCACCCTTAAGCTATGGTCCGATACTTCTCTTACTCTTGTGTAATCTTCCATAAGGATAAACACAAAACACTCCAGATATTGTCTTCA